TGGTTCCCACTCCACCCTCTGCCCTTATCTTCCCCCCCACTGTCCTCATCCATAGGTGTACAATTTTTGTCCAGTCTCTTCCCGTACGCCCCACACTCCTTTCCCCCTGAGAATTATCAATCCACTCCCATTCTATGCCCCTGATTCTGTTATATTCACCAGTTTATTCTGTTCCTCAGATTTTTAATTCACTTGATTTTTAGATTCAATTGAACAACAAATATATATATTCAGATATATTTGTTGCTCATAATTTTTATCTTTACTTTTTTCTTCTCTTCTTAAAGAATACCTTTCAACGTTTCATATAATTCTGATTTGGTGCTGATGAACTCCTTTAGCTTTTTCTTGTCTGTGAAGCTCTTTATCTGATCTTCAATTCTGAATGATAGCTTTGCTGGTAGAGTAATCTTGGTTGTAGGTTCTTGCTATTCATCACTTTGAATAATTCTTGCCACTCCCATCTGGCCTGCATAGTTTTTGTTGAGAAATCAGCTGATAATCATATGGGTGCTCCCTTATAAATAACTAACTGCTTTTCTCTTGCTGCTTGTAAGATTCTCTCTTTGTCTTTTGCTCTTGGCATTTTAATAATGATGTGTCTTGGTGTGGTCCTTTTTGGATTCCTTTCGTTTGGGGTCCTGTGTGCTTCTGGACTTGTGAGTCTATTTCTTTCATCAGGTGGGGGAAGTTTTCAGTCATTATTTCTTCAAATAGGTTTTCAGTGTCTTGCTCTCTCTCTTCTTCTTGCACCCCCATAATTCTGATGTTGGTATGCTTAAAGTTGTCCCAGAGTCTTCTTATACTATCTTCCACTTTTTGGATTCTTTTTTCTTTTTCAGTTAATTGTTCTTTGCTTCTTTGTATTTCAAATCTTTGACTTGATTCTTGCTTCCCTCTAGTCTGCTGTTGGGTCTCTGTATAATATTTTTTTATTTCAGTCAGTGTAATGTTTAATTTCTAATTGGTCCTTTTTCACATCCTCAAAGATCTCGTTAAATTTATCAGCCTTTTCTAGGAAATTCTTGAAAAACTTTATATCTGTGGTTTTGAACTCTGTATCCAGTCATTTGTTCTCTATTTTTTTCTTTTGTGATCTGTTTCCTTGTCTCCTCATTTTCACTGCTTCCTGATTTGTTAGGGTGGCTTTGTGTGCTAGGTGTCCTATATGGTTCAATGGGTCGGCCTCCCAATTACCTGAGATGGACACTCTTGATGCATCCCTTTGTGGACTGTGTGTACAGCCTTGTTGTAGCTAAGTCTTAATTGTTGTTGGGAGGAATTGACCTCCAGGCCAATTGGCTGTGAGGACTCACTGAATCTATAATGGAAGAATTGGTGTACTGGAGACATGCTTATGGGACAGGACTTGTTACAGTAGGGCTTTGGTGCTCACTGAGTCTGCCTCTTGAATGTGTCACTTATGAGAGTAGTTGAAATCTGGTGTCATCTCACACAGACCACTAGATACACTAGTTTCTGGATCTCCAATGGGGTGCAGGTCAGCTACTGTCTGAGGCCACCAGCAGGAGCTACAGCAAGAACTACAGTTTTCTCCTCCTTGCTTGGGGTTTGGATGTTTTGGAGCTGTCTGACCAGAGCTGCAGTTTGTCTGGTTAAGCTACAACTGGGCAGGCCATTTATATGCAAAAGCTGCTGTGTGGAGCTTGGGTGTGTTTGTAGATTGTGCGGGGCTGAGTCTCAGGGCGTCACTAGACTAGGGAGTGGCAAACAGCGATGGCCGCCAGTCAGCCTTCTCTGCCTTTCCGCGTTTCCAATTCCCCGCATCCTGCACCGCAGTAAACAATGATTGCTGGGCGCACCTCTGCAAGAAAGTCACCCTCACTTTCCGACCCGATGGCAGACAGACCAGCTTCTCCCCGTAGGAATTTGAGTTCCTCGCATCTCCCCATAAACTGAAGTTCAGAGTAATTGAGAGCTTGTCTCCCTTCAGGTTGAAAAAAAGCAGTGTGCCCAGTTGCCTGCCACCAGCCCAACTCAAGTGCCTCCATATCTCAGCTTTTCAGTGCTTGTGCACGTATCAAGGCTCTTTTCTCTTTTCTTCTAGTTGTAGAACTTCCACTCAGCCAGTCTTCCTGTGGTTCTGGGTTATAGACGTTTTGTCTTTTAGTTGTAATTTTGAAATTGTTTTGCGAGGTAACAGTTTAGGTATTTACCTTTGCCGCCATCTTGGTTTCTCCCAAATTTTTGTTTCTTAATTATAATTTTACTAGAGGCCCGGTGCCTATCAGGGCTTTCCTTCCTTGAGCTATAGGCAGCTGGCCCCACCCCCACCTGCCACAGCTTGCCATCTATGCAGTGCTGCTCCCACCCCTCCCCTACCACCAGTGGCCTCCATCTGCAGGTGACAAGCTGGGGTGCAATGGCCTGGACCACCCTCTTTCTTTGCTGGGGTGTGGGGCCAGCCCTGCGAGGGGCCATCTGCCTATCTGACTATCCCTAACTATTCTGCCTGATTGCTCCTACCCGCTTGCTTAACAGCTTTTGAAAAGAAGTCTACACCGAAGTCACTTTGACAGGTCTCTGAAGAAGCACAGGCCCTGTGTACTCTTAACAAACTCAAAGGCAGAAACAGAGGAATCATCTGGTCTCTGGTCATTTCGGTCATGACTCTGGCCTTTTATTATATAGGATTATTTTCAAAACTATTACAAAAACTAAACACTCCAAAATTCTGCTAAGAGAAAAACAAAATAAGTAAGTTCAATGAACAAACAAAAAGACCCTCAACTAACCTAGCTCTCCTATCCACCCCATTAAATGTAAACCTTGGTGTCCCACTTCCAAAATAATTCCTCCAAACTTATCTATCATTATTCCCCGTCCTTCCACTTACATCAAGATAATATACCAAGCTTTCTTACATTCCATGCCTATTTACAGAATTTATCTCACTTGAAATATCTACCCTTTACATATGCAAATCCTATTCCTTCTTCAATTCTCAATATCTCTAGAAAAAAAACCAAAGAATTAGTTATGTAGATTATTCCATTTCAATTATCCTTACCTTTAAACAGAGATGAAAATAACAAGAGGCCTTCTCACTATAGACAGGGAGACAGACAAGTTTCAGACAAGCAGTACTTTGCAGGGGCAGGTAGAAAGGAGGGGAATGAAGTGTGAGAACACAAAGGAGAGAGCATTTAATTCTGCTCAAAGGTCAAGTAAGAGACCTAGAAAACTTCAACGAGAGTGACTTGGTTAGAAGTCATGGGAGGTAATAATATATGGAGGATATCAGACAAAGATAAAACAGCCTGAGCAAAGATGGAGAGAGCCATGAAAATTAAAATGCTTGGTGCTTTGAGGGCATTGTGCATTAGAGGGAATTTCAAATGCAATAAAACTGAAAAGGGAAATCCAGAAGCATAGTGCAAAGGGCCTTGAATGGCACACAGCCTAAATCCCTTCAATTATGGCAAGGGTAATGGCAAGTCACGTAAGACATTACATTGGAGTTATGCCTTGGCTTTTGTTTCTTAGAAGGTAACCTGGCCTTCTAAAGAAAGGCTGGACTGGAAAGAGAAGGGGCAGCAGACCAGTTAATATGTGGCAGGTGTTCCACAAATGTTTATTAACTGGATGAGACTATCACACAGAAAAAAAAAAAATCTTTTAGGCTGCACATTTAAAGTCAGCAGCACGAAGTGCTCTCCAGTTGCTTTGAATATATTAGTTTTCCACTTTCAAGATCATAAAACTTAGTAAAGCAGATAGGTGAAGAAGAAACATGGATCCAGAGTCAGACTTGGCTGAAGTCCAAGTCTGAAAACCGCTGTTTGTGTGATTGTGAGCAAGCTACTTAATTTCTTTGGTTCCCAGTCTCCTAATCTATTACATGTAACATTGTACACTCCTCACAGGATTGTAGAGGATTAAACATGAGATGGTACCAACACAGTGCCTCGCACATAGTAAATCCTCAAGAAGCATTATATTCCTTATGGGCTGTATTTAGTGTTCAGGATTATACTATAATACTAGACTAGGCACATAATAGATGCTCAGGACTGTGTCAAGTCATTTATTAAATCTCCGACAATCACATTTTTTCTATAAACTTTCTATAAAAGCTTTAAACGTCTCTCTCCCCCCCACTCCCCCACCCTCCACCCCCCATTTACACAGGTTAGATTTAGGCCATATGGAAAACAAATTCTTTTTAAAGGCAACGCAACTGAGAAAGGGAGGAGCATGCTCTTCAGGGCTTCTGAAAAGCAGTCTACACAGAAGTCACTTTGACAGGTCTCTGGAGAGCCACGGGCACTGTGTAACCTTAGCAAGCTCAAAGGCAGAAACGGAGTACAGGGGATCAATAATGGAGCACGGGGCCATCCAGATGCCCCTGGGCACCGGTGACACGATCCACTAAGGCAGGGGTTTTTTGTTTTGTTTTGTTTTAAACCAAGTAAGCTCTGGACTAGAGAGCACTATAGCTTCAAAAAAAATAAAATAAAATAAAATCGTGGTGACATTAACAGTTAAGAAAACTCTACCCAGCGACCTGCCACACGAGGAAGAGCACGCTAGGGGCCGGCGGAGGGGAAAGCAGGTCTGGGCCACCGGAGGGGCAGGTCAGCGCCCCGGGGCGCCTGCACCCAAGGGCGGCTGCGGCGGCCCCGCATTCCGGCCCCGGACTGTGGTCTATACTTAACCTCCGGCCCGCGCCGCCGCCGCCCCGCCGGGCACCGTATTAGGCAATGCCCGGGGCGCACGGCGCTCCCCGCCCCGCTCCATTCAGCCCGCCGCCCGCGCCCGCGCCCCTCCCCCACGGCCGCAGCGGGTCCCCGCGGCCGCCCCCGCGTCCCCCGCGCCGGGACCCCCCGCGCCCCGCCCCGCACACACCCCCGCCCGCCCCACCGCGCGCTCCGGAGCGGGGGGCCCCCCACCAGCCGGTGGCCGCCCCGGGCGCGGAGTAGCGGGCGCGGCGGCGCGGGGAGGGCCGGGGGGAGCCGGGAGCCTCGGGGCGCACGTACCCCGCGGTCATGGCGATGTTGTAGAAGGTGAGCCAGGCGGTGGCCGCCCAGCCCAGCCGCCTCCTCCGGCCGGGGGCCTCCCTCTCCTCGCTGGCCTCCGAGGCGCCGCCGTTGGAGCCGTCCTCCTCGCTGAACGCCATGGTGGCCGCGCCGCCGGGGGAGGAGGCCGGGAGGGGAAGGGGAGTGCACGGGGGCCCTGCCGAGCTCGCAGCCGAAGCGCCGCCGCCCGCCGCCGCCGCCTCGGTCCAGCGCCCCATGTGCCGCGCGCAGGGGGCTCGGCGCCGCCAGCCGGGCCGCTCGCGGGGGGAGGAGCGGGCGCCCCCGGCCGGCGCCCCGCGCCCCGCCCCCGGCCGCGTGAGCGCGCGCGCCGAGGCGGGACCCGGCCCCCCGCCCGGAGCGCGGGAGCGATGTCCTGAGTGTGATGTCGAGGTTTCCACGGAACACCCATCCCCTCGCGGGCCGGGGAACCTCCTCTCGGGAAGGCGCCCCGGCGATCGTGCACCTGGCGACGTGCGCCCCGCTGGTGCGGGGGAGACGCACGGAGTTCCCCGGGGCTCGGAGGGGTTGCGCCCGCCCAGCATTTCCCATGGTGGCTTCTAGACGGGGAGGCAGGTGCTGGGGTCTTCCCGCCAGACGCAGTTTTAAGAGCTGTCGGGGAAGTTGTGTCCACTTAGCCCCGTTGCACTTTTACTGTCCTGTGGGCATGGACGGGGGAAACACAGGATTTGGCCGAGTTGTGTGGATTCCATGGAGACATGGGTTCTCAGGGCATTCATTTAAATCCGCAGAATAATGGGTGTTAGGGGAAGCTAGCGGAAAGAGGACAGACATGTCAAGTCACCAAAGGAGAGAAGTTTGAATAGATATAGACAATCTACAGATGTAGGGCTAACAAGATCTCTTTTTCCACAGGAAAATTAGTAACCTGCTGTTCTCCACCCTATATTTCTTTCCTTTTAAAAAAATAAAATAAAATAAAATTGGTTTTGCTTCCAAGTACCCACACTTTCTCCTAGTAACTCTTGACTATTTTTCCCTTAAAGCACACAATTAAGAAGGCAGATTCTGGAGTCAGAGTACTGAAATTCAAATTCCAAATTTCTGGCTCCACCGGTTTAGTTGTGGGCAACTGAACCTCTCTATGCCTCAGTTTCCTCACTGGGGAGAATTTAAAAACCTACCCCAAATCAGCGTGTTAGCACTTTTCTGGTGGTTCCTGAACTCCGTTGATAAAAAGTTTATAAAATTCTAGAAGAAAGCTGAATCTTTGGAACCTTGAGGAAGGCAAAAATTTCTTAGATACAATGACAATAAAAGGCATTAATCAGAAAAGACAGATGGAACTTCATCAAAATGTAAAACTTCTGTTATCCCAATGTCACCATTTAAAAAGTGAAAATATTCACAATGAATATTGTGATAAGGAACTTGTATCAGAATACTATATATAAAGAATCCTTGCCCTAACCAGTTTGGCTCAGTGGAGAGAGCATTTGCTTGGGCACTGAAGGGTCTTGGGTTCAATATTGGTCAAGGGCACATGCCCAGGTTGCAGACTTAATCCCCAGTAGGGGAAATGCCTACTGAGTTAAAAAAAAAAAAAAAAAAATTCTTGTAACTCATAATACAAAATCTGGTATTTTTAAATGAGCAAAAGATTTCAATAGACATTTCACAGAGAAGATATAGAAATAGCAAAAGATTTTCTGCACAGGCCAGCAGAAGCAATCCCCTTGTTAGGCCTTCCTGCTGGCCATACACAGGGACGGCCACCTGAGGACTAGAGACCTGGCTTCCTGAGCTTCTCAGGTATGAAGTCATCCTCACCGGGAGGAGGTTAGGGATGGCACCAAAGAGGAGAAAATGGAACCTGGTCTAGGAGGGTCATGGTCCAAGCTCTCAGCTCATTGCCCAGGCAGTACTACCAGCCTGCTTCAGAGAATTTAGATAATTTTTTGTCTTTTTAAAAAATAATTATTTATTATTGAAAGTGTTACATACTAATATGTCCTCTTTTTTCCCCCATTAGCCCCCTCCCTGCCCCCCACCTTCCCGAACTTCAGCATCCTATGGTCTGTGTCCATGGGCCACGCATAGTTACATACAAGGTCTTTGGTTAATTACCTCCCACCCAGCCACCCTCTCCCGCCTCCCCTCTGAGATTCCCCACTCTTCCATATCTCTGAATCCACTCCGTTCAATTTATTTTGTTCCTTAGATTCCACATATGAGTGCAATCATGTGATACTTGTCTTCCTCTGACTGACTTGTTTCACTTAGCATGATACTCTCCAGGTCCCTCCATGCTGTCTCAAAGGAGAATTTAGATAATTTTGAGGAAGACATTCCAACAGGGGAAAGGTATGGGGTAAAGGGATACAGGAGTTTGAGATGCGCCTAGGAAGATATATAATGGCTCAAAATTGTTCAAATTTGATGAACACTGTGAGCTACTATTTTTAAAGGCATTTAAATTGGAAAGAAAGAAGTGAAACTATTTGGAAATAATAACATTGTGTGATTAGAAAATCCCAAGGAATATACCAAAAAAAAAAAAAAAAAAAATTACTGGAACTGGTTGCAGGATACAAGGTCAGTGTAACAATCAATCATTTTCTACATAGTAGAAAAGCACAACTGGAAATTGAAAAACAAAACCATATAGTGCTCATCAGCATCCCAAAACATGAAATGTATAGGGATAAACTTAAAATATGTACAAGACTTGAACCCTATAAGTCACTGCCAAGAGAAATTAAAGACCTGAATAAATAGCTATTTTGCTTATGAATTAGAGGACTCGGGATTGTTAAAATTGTCAGTTATCCTCAAACCCCAGAAGAAAAAAAAAAATTAATTTGACAAGGTGACTCAAATTTATAAGAAAATACATGCATAGAAAAAACAAAGTTGGAGCACATACATATCTATTTTTAAGCCTTAGTATAAAACCACAGTTTGCAGGACAGTGTGGTAGGTAGGCATAAGGATAGACATACAAATCATTGAAATAGAATATAGTCCAGACCCTGATTTTCAACAGATGTCAAGGTAAGTATTTTCAACAAATGGTGCTGAGACAATTGGATGTCCACACACACACACACAAAATGAACCTTGATCCTTATCTTATACCATAGGCAAGTGTTAATTTGATATGGATCATAGACCTTTCAGAAAAGCTGAAACTATAAAATTCTAAAAGAAAACGGCATCTTTGGAACCTTGAGGAAGGCAAAGATTTCTTAGATAAAATGACCAAAAAAGGCATTAATCAGAAAAGACAGATGGAACTTCATCAAAATGTAAAACTTCTGTTATTCCAATGAATCCATTTAAAATTTGAAAATAGCCAAAACCGGTTTGGCTCAGTGGATAGAGTGTCAGCCTGCAGACTGAAAGGTCTCGGGTTCGATTCCGGTCAAGGGCATGTACCTAGGTTTCGGGCACATCCCCAGTGGGGGGTGTGCAAGAGGCAGCAGGTAGATGTTTCTTTCTCATCAATGTTTCTGGCTTTCTATTTTTCTCTCTTCCTCTCTGTAAAAAATCAATAAAATATATTTTTTTAAATAAAAAGTGAAAATACTCACACTGTATCTGATAAGGAACTTGAATCCAGAACACTATATATAAATATATATAAAAAATCCTTACAACTCAATAATATAACAACCTGGTATTTTTAAGTGAGCAAAAGATTTCAATAGACACTTCACAGAGAAGATATAGAAATAGTAGCACATGCAAAGATGCTCAGTCTTATTAGTCATTAGAAATACAAGTTAAACTCACAATGAGATGTCACTACATCTAATATTTTTATTTTTTTAATTTTTTAAAAAATATATATTTCTTTATTGATTTTAGAGAGGAAGGGAGAGGGAGAGAGAAATAGAAACATCAATGATGAGAGAGAATCATTGATTGACTGCCTCCTGCACACCCCCCACTGGGGATAGAGTCTGCGACCCAGGCATGTGACCTTGGCCAGAATCAAACCTGGGACCCTTCAGTCCACAGGCTGACTGTCGCTCTATCCACTGAGCCAAGCCAGCTAGGACAATATCACTACATCTAATATTTTTTTAATGTTGGCAAGGATGTAGAGCAATTGGCATTCTCATACATGGCTAAAGAGATACAACTTTGAGAAAATGATTTGACAGTTTCTTAAAAATATCAGCATACACTTATATATGACCCATAAATTTCACTCCTAGGTGTTTATTCAAGAAAAGAAAAAATAGATCCATACAAAGACTTGGACACAAATGTTCACAGCAGTTTTATTCATAGTAACCCCTGAAAATAATCCATCAACATGTGAACGGATAAACAAATTGTAGTGTACTCATACAATGGACTATTACTCAGCAATGGAAAAGAACTCGCTACAGTACACACAATATGAATGGATCCCATAAACTTTAGCCGAGCAAAAGGAGACATACACAAAAGATTGCATAGTATATGATTATATTTATTTGAAATTCTACAAAAGGAAAATTTATAATGACAAAAAAGAGAAAAGTTGCTGCCTGGCACTGGGGATATGTGTGTGGAGAGAGCTAATGGGAATTCTTTCAGAGTAATATAAATACCTATTCATGTGGTGGTTTTCTTTCTGGCACATTTGTTAAGTTTTCAAATGGGCCTCATTCTGCCACATATATTATATGGGAGCTGGGAAAGTCTTGATGATAAAGAGCTCTCTCTCTAGCCTTTCCCGCATCAGAGATTGGCTCCCACATGTGAAAATAAATAAATAAATAAATAAATAAATAAATAAATATTCAGTGATTGTTGTATATACATTTGTCAAACTCATCATATGAAACAGACAAAATGGATGCATTTCTTTGTGCATAAATTATTGCATGGAGTTGATTTTAAAGTATCAGGAATAATAAATATTTTGAAGTGTAAAATTTACAAATTATTGATAGGTTTAACATAAAACCCACATTCTGTAGCAGAATGGGCTTGTATATTGCAGTTAATAGTTTCTCTTCTGATTATTCAATTATTCCTTTAAACCATTAAATATGACATAAAATGTAACTCATTTTTACAATGGCTATCGTTTTTGGGGTTTTTTAACTTTTTTTTCTATCCTCACCCCAGAATATGTTTTTGATTGATTTTTAGAGAGAGAGAGAAAGCAACATTGATGTGAGAAAAAACATCATTCAGTTGGCTCTCTTATGCGCCCCAATAAGGGATTAAACCCAAAACCTAGTATGTGACCTGACTGGGA